TTGTTAAGTTGTTTGAAAAGAGTTGCATAGTTGTATAATTGAATAAGAAATAGTATAATTACATGGAGATGCATGTTGAGTATAGAGTTGTATGTTGCTATAAGTTGTATGTTGTGCCATGTGTTGAAAATATATTATTTTATGATGATTGAGTTGTAAATTATGAGTTGAGCTAATAAGATGTTGAGTTGATTGTGCGGTTTAAAGTTGAAATGAGATGTTGTGTTGTTAAAATGTGTTGTTAAACAATTTGTGATGAGTTGTTGTGCTGATAAACTACGTTGTTCAAGTTGAATGTTGATTTAGATGATGATTTGAAAAGTTGTATGTTGTTATATTGCCAAATGATTGTCACAATGTAGCGTAACTGGATAGTCGATCGGTTGACATAAGTCTTGTAATAGCTGCATAAGCCATGAACATTCTTGAGCTGCCATAGCCGACGCTCTATACTCCGCTTCTGTGCTAGAAAGAGACACCGTTGATTGTCTCTTACTGTACCAAGATATAGCTCCGGATCCCATAGTAAACATGTATCCAGTCGTCGAACGCCGAGTGTCATGGTCACCAGCATAGTCAGCATCGCAATATCCTGTAACTTCACATGGCGCTCCTTTCTTGTAGAAGATTCCATAGTCAATGGTATTCCATACTTTAATATTCGTGGTGCAGCTTCCAATTGTGGCTTCTTCAGGTTCTGCATGAATCGACTTACTACTCCTACCGCATAAGCTATGTTGGGTCGTGTCAATGTCAAGTAGATCAAACTTCCTACTACTTGCTTGTACATTGTAGCATCCTTCAAATCTCGTCCTTCTGTTGAGCAAAGCTTAGCATTAACTTTTGTTGGTGTCGAGGTTGGCTTGCAATCGAGCATACCATATCTCTTCAACAATTCTTGGGCATATTTTTGTTGACAGAAATATTCCGTCTTTTGTCCTTTCAACTTCAAGTCCTAAAAAATGCTTCAATTCCCCAAGCTCTTTCATCTGGAAGCGTACTGATAGATTACTCTTTATTTGATGAACCTCTTTTTCATCATCTCCAGTGATAATGAGATCATCCACGTACACTAGCACTATGGCCAACTTACCCTTTTGTTCTTTCACGAATAAACTTGAATCTGCTGGTGCGACGGCATATCCATTCTGCACCAAGAATTCGGCAATCTTCCCATACCATGCTCTAGGGGCTTGCTTTAAACCATACAAAGCTTTCTTCAATTTGCACACATAAGTTGGATGACTTGTGCTCTCAAATCCCCTTGGTTGCTCCATGTATATCTCTCGGTCTAGTTCTCCGTACAGAAACGCATTTTTGACATCCATTTGCCAGAGCTTCCATGATTTGCTTGCTGCTAGTGCTAACAATACACGTACAGTAGTTATCTTGGCAATTGGGCTGAACGTCTCATCCTAGTCTAGTCCATACTTTTGTGAAAAACCTCAAGCCACCAGTCGAGCCTTGTATCTCTCTATCGTCCCATCTAGTCGAGTCTTCACCTTGTATACCCACTTACATGAAATGGGTTGCACACTGGATGGTCTTGGCACTAACTCCCATGTTTCATTTTGTTTCAACGCCTTGATCTCTTCTTCCATCGCATATCTCCACTCTTTATGTTGAGATGCTTCCTCATAGTTGTTTGGTTCCTTAATTTCATTGTCTTATACTAATGCTGCATTCGCATATTTTGGATTTGGCTTTCGAGTCCTTGTTGATCTCCTTCGCTGAGGTTGAGGAACCTCCTCCTCTAATTCCTCCATCTAACTAGGTCTCTCGTCCTCTGTAAACCTAGTGTAAATACCTGTCTTCCAAGGACTTTTCTCTTTCTCTAAAGATATTGCTCTAGTTTGTCCAGGCAAAAATTCGACGTCATGTACTATTTCTTTATCTTCGCGTTGCACCTCTTTTTGCTTTTGCACTTGCTCTTAAATTTTCTTTGTATCTGGTAGCGATACTGCTTGGGAAGACCACCACGATGATGCTTCATCAAACACCACATTCCCGGATACGTAGCACCTTCCGGTCGTCGGATTGCAACACCTCCATCCTTTTCGTTGGCTGTCATATCCAACGAATATACACCGGATTGCTTTCTTCTCGAACTTGCTGCGTTCTTGGCCTGGCATGAAAACATAGCACACACATCCAAACACTCGGAAGTAACTCACCGAAGGTTTTGTGTTCCACAACTTCTCATGTGGTGAAACGAAACCTAGTCTTGCCTGGGGTAATCTATTAATGACGTAAGCAGAGGTCTTCATGCACTCCGTCCAAAATCTTGGTGGTACATTTTTACTATGTAACATGCTCCTGCATGTCTTTACCAGGTGCCTATTCTTTCTCTCTATGATTCCATTTTGTTGTAGGGTGTTCTGGCATGTCAACTGCCTCCTTATGCCACATTTTTGTAAGTATTGGTTGAACTCCTTTGATGTATATTCTCCCCCGTTGTCCGTACGCAAGCACCGTATCATACGTCCAACCTCTTTCTCAATCTTTTCTTTGAACTCTATAAACTTCTTTAGTGCTTCAGATTTTTCCTTCAAAAAGTATACCCACACGTACCTGGAATAGTCATCGATAATTGTGATCATATATTTATTCCTGCTGATCGATAGTTGCTTCACCAGTCCAAACACATCAGAATGCACCAGTTCCAATGGTGCCTTAGCCTTGCATTTTGACTCTTCATATGGAAGCTCGAGAGCTTTCCCATATTGACATCCAGTGCAAACGACATTCTCTCGCACCTCTCAGTTTGGTAAGCCTTTTAGCATGGACTGTTTCATCATTGCTTTTAATCGATTATAGCTCACGTGTCCAAGTCTCGCGTGCCATAGATCTGTTGTCTCATTCCTCCTTGCCTTGTTCACGTATGCCTCTTGTGCTGACATTACATAGACAGACTCTAATCGCCTTCCTTTCATAATTGCAAGACATATAGGCTTGAACCTTCGATACAATCCTACATCTTTTGGCCCAAACACCACATAATTGCCTGAAGCTGTCAATTGTGAAATTGATAATAAAATCTTCTTTATCCCGGGTACATGGTAGACATTGTCGACCTCTACTTGATGTGGACTAAAGCGGGGGACTATAGCGGCCTTTCTGATGTGAGAGATTGGCATCTTGGAGTTGTTTGCGGTCACAACAACTCTTTCTCCCTTATATTCTGACATACTTAGAAACTTTCCTTTGTCTCCAGTCATTTGATTCGAGCAGCCAGAATCAACAATCCAATCATCATCATAATTGATTGCTTCACTCACCGTGACCAATGTTGATTCTTCTACTAACTTATCCATGCATGATGTTGCAATCTCTACACCTTCATCCCACCGAGATTCCTTTACCGCGTACGATGCTTGGACATCCCATTCTTCTTCGTTCTCGTCCTGCTTAAGTGTGATTGTGTTGCCTTCTTCTTTCCTGGCCCAACATTCTCGTACATAGTGGCCCTTTTTATCACAGTTGTAACATCGTCCATCCTTGCACCGATATCTCTTTTGTTCTTCGTAGTCTCTTAATCGGGATTGCGTAGCTCCCCTTTGCTCTGGACCCTTCTTATGTTGGCCTTTCTGCCAACCTTGTCTTCTTTGTGGGCCTTTGCTATCTGAATTTGCAGCTGCCTTAACCTCCTTTCAGCCTCCCTTTTAACTAAAAAGGGTCTTGTCTTCCTCATTAATTAATATTTTAGACATTTGATTGTCTAAAGCTTCTTGATTTGCCAAAATACTTTCTAACTCTGTCAAGGTGGGTTCTGTGGACCAACCTATAATGGCGGTAATAATCCCATTATATTTTGGATTTAATCCAAAAATTATTATTCTCCTCATCCTCGTCTCAGAAATTGCATTCTGAGGATCTAATTTTGCAATCTCATTGCAAATTGATTTAACCTTAGTAAAATACTGACTTACCGCCATGTCACCTTGTCTTAGTGACATCAACTCGTTTTCTAGCAGCTGCAACTTAGCATCATTCTTCTTTGTGAAGAGTGTTTCTAATGTATCTTACGCCTCCTTCGGTGTCGTTAGGTCCTTGATCCGCTGCAAGAACTCATCCTCCACGGAGATCGACAACACGTACAAAGCTTTTCCACATCGAACCTTCCATTTCTTTAGATTTTCTTCATCGATTGGTGGGGTCGTCTCCGCACCACGAACAATGCTCTAGAGATCTTGCCCGAGCAAATAATATTTCATCCGAACGCTCCACGTGTCATAATTGCTGTTGTTGAGCCTCTCCAATGAGCTAGTTGAGGATGCGAGATCTGTCATGATGATTGGTTAGCGCCCAGCACTCAACCAGTTTACTGTGATCCTGATGATCAACAACTATTACAGTCCCAGACTGTATTCCTGCAGAATCTCCTTCACATAGTCAATCTTCCACCAACGTACTAGCTCGAGCAAACTGGTTCCTGGTCCTGACCGAACCAGGCTCTGATACCAAATGTTGAAAAAATAGGAGGCTAATTTTATTAATATACAAGAGCAAATACAAAAATATTGGTGCCCAATACCTCTAATGATTTTACACTAATACAACACACTCACTTACTTACTCACACACACTCTTCACAATACTATTTATATTTTGGTGACACACACACTCAATATATATTCCTCACTTCTCACAAATATACTCATGTCACTCTCACTCACTACTTACTGTGTTTCTTTTCCACTATACACATAAGCATGATCACTATCCTATATATAGTTTCCCAATGTCGGTTTGGAAGCTTGCTGGAAGCTCTAGATATTTCTTCACAATTAATGACTCTAGATATTTCTAATTGCTTAAAAATATAGCTTTTTAGTTATTTCCATTTGTCAGGCGATGATGGAATAATCTAGAATAATAATTGATATTTTTAACACTTAATTAATTTGATAAATATTAGCTTAAAAGCGTTACATATATGCAACAACATATTACGGATGTCGTTAGATGCGTGAATATTTTTTTACTGCTGTATTTGTTACCTTAATTATGCTCGGATGATTTCTCTGCTCTGTATTGGAGAAAACTGCAAATTCTCCGTCAAGTTTGAATGGAATTTGTTGTTTTCGGGTCACATCTTCAATTTTTTGGCTAAGATTGTCATACATATCCTGCAATAATGACAAACATTTGCGGCTCATGGTCCAGTCCTATGACTTGGAAGGTCGAACATATACCAGTTACCTCAAATAAATTATTATATAGTTGAGGATCACTATGGTCCCAACCCTACTAATTAATTTTCATACCACATAAACACCAGTGTTAAGGCTTTATTAAATTGAAAAAGTTATGTGAATTAGCTTAATCATGACTATGAATATATAGTGATTCAGACTTTGAAATAAAAATTAAGTAGTGAAAGAAATAATCTTGGTCACAAATTATATAACATGTATCTAGATTTTTAAGAGTTTAATAGTGGTACATCGATTTTATTTGATTGACTCTGTAAACCTGTGGATCATCATTAAATTTATTTTTTTAATTTATGAAAAAAGAATTAATATCACTTTAGAGATCCAATAGTTCTTGTACTTACCTTCACTTGTGTCCATTCTTGTTTGAATTCTGGTGAGTCTTCTTCACTCGTGGTAGTGACAACATTAGAGAAGTATCTGAAGGGTGCTCTGACTTGTATGTTGTACTTCTTACAGAATGGTATCCAAAGCTTAGCGAATTTGGAGGCTTCAACAAGTGCATAGAAAGTAAGAGGTGAACATCCATCATCGGAGACATAGCATGCTAGCTTGTTAGAAGGATAATCAAGTGCTAACAAAGACAAGACAGTGTTGACTGTGATGATGGGTGGTTCAAGTATAGCATCCGCTGTTGTCACAAACAAGTCTACTCGCGGAAGCTCAGGTACCCTATTGAAATAAACAAAAATAAGCACGTGTATAATCACTTGATATGCCACGAACAAAAGAAAGAATAAGCATTTATGAATAACTTTATGTTGTTACATACCTTTGCAAGAGCCTTTCTGGGTGGGTTATGGTTAGTGCAGGACTCCACTTGGCGTTGAGAATCACAATCCAAGTGAAGGTGAACCATGATTCACAAATGAAAGCAAGGAGCCATGGGAAAGTGAAGGTGTTGGGTGAGAAAAGACGGTAACTAAGAAGCAAGAGGAGTAATAGTAAAATGAAGATGTCTATTACTCTTTGAAATCTGCGCTTTAGCCAAACTTTTTCATAGAGAGGAAGATCATATTCTTGGTTGGCCATTGAGGAAAACGCAAAGGACTCAAATTATTTGTTTCCAAAGGACTCAGTTTGTTTGGAGTAGTGATTGTTTATTATTATTTGAGGATCGAGAAGAGATAAGTCAAGTGCATAATATGCGATGCTGTGTGTATATATATTCAGAGAAACACATTAGACTGTGAAATGTAAGAGGAAAAATATAGGCTTGTAAGTTGTAAGAAATAAAGTTTTAGCCAAGCCTAAAAGTTGTAGCCACGAGGGTGAGGGTCAGTTTTAATTTAGCAATGTTTTTTCTTTCGTTTCTTGCTTTTAGTGGAGCATTAATAGTATTGGGAGAAATTATTATGTGATTCGTATTTTGCATCTAGCTATGTAATTTTTATATGACACGTAATTATATGTTTTATTGACTTTTTCTATAAATTGAAAAACTCAATTATTATTATTATAGTGAGTGTTGGAGACTTGGAGCATTCGCTTGATTGGACCTGTCGTTAGAGACTCAGAGTTTCCATGTGAAGCAAGCTGACATCACTTCTCAATAATTTGTGACAATTGACCGTCACAAATCACAATAATGCCACGAATATTCTTTATAAGATGGTAAAAGTAACAAGAAAAGATGTTTATTACTGCCTTCAGGATATTGGTTAAAATTTAAAAGTTAAATTTTTTATTTATTAAAAAGCGTATATATATATATATATATTATGTGTAACTTCATTCAATTTTTTGATAAATTGTTTTTCTATATATTAATTATTTAACTAATATTTTAATAAAACTTAAATAAAGTAAAAAATAAATAATAGAGTAGTGAGAAATAGAAAAATAGAATACTTTTTTTACTGTTTGATAAGTAGAAAAGTGAAAGAAAAAATAAGTGTGTGGTGGGATAAAAAAGAAGAAATAAAACTATCATCTTAAGTGACAAGAATTTTATGGAAAAAGAAAGTGAAATACTAGTATCGTGAATATCTGCTTAACCGGTAAATGAGAAATTTAACCTTTTATTTTAAATAATTATACGTAATTTTTTAATATTCTATCAACAGAGACACTTAATTTTTATAATATTATATAAAACATATTATCAGTGATAAATATACTTTTATAATATTTTTATTTTTATTTTTATTTTTTTAATAATTTAAATGACTTAAAACTTTATTTTTTCTCTCTTCTACTATTTTTTACTTCATTTCTTTCTTTTTAATATCTCTGATTATTCGCACAAAACATAAGATAAATTAAATATATATATATATATAGAAGAGAGAGAAAGTAATAAATGATTAATTAATTAAATAATTGATTAAATTTTCATTTGATCAATTAAATCATCAAAAATATTTGATGACTAATTTTATTATTTAATCAATTAAATCAAAATTTTAATCGATTAAACCAATAAAATATAGGTTTCTTAGTGAAAAAGAGTTTAATTGATTACAATTTCATTTTATTCGATTATTACTCACATCACTGTAGATTTTTTTCATCGGTTTAGGAACCCACATCTTTTTATTTTCTCTTATCGCTAATTTTGGTGTAGCCAAACTAAGAGAGTTTTGGTTTTCTAAAAACAACCCGAAACTTATTATTATTTTTCAACAAATTTTTCCCCTAAAAATAGTATCCTTAAATTACCCTTAAATTTCTCAATAGTTTTTATCCAACACTTTTATACCACTTTCTTATATTTTATTATGCAATTTTTTTTAATCTAGGAAAAAGAGAGCCGAGGCAACTTGTTTTAGTATGTCCTCTTACCAGCTCAACAGAAACGGAATGGATAAGCTAATTTGTCTAATGATTTGAAAACCATGATTTGTCAAAAATGGAAAAAAAAAATCAAAAAATTTATTTTAACACAATTCCAAAGTGAAAAAATTAGTGAAAAAATTTAAAATATATTAATAATTTATTACGGTTAATCTAGAATAAAATTTTCTTATTTTACTGTTTAGAAAATTTTAACTATATTTTAATACTTAAAATTGTAATATATTATATTATATTCTAAGTTTCCTTCCTCATGTTAGACTAGTTTTTAAGAATGTAATAAACGTTTTTTTTTATAATAATTGCTCTCAAGTTTAATATGACTTCTCAATTTCTTTTAGAATGAGATAAATGTAAATACCTTATAATTTATTTTACATTGTTTATAAACTCATTTGAATTGGAAGGCATTTCCTACCATAAAATTGAGACATCATTAGCTCCACTGAAGTTTGATTGGCAAGAAAAGGTGATAAACTGTGTCTGACATAGGAACGGATGCCACTTATCTTTCTATTACAACCCAAACCAAATATTCCTCACTGCCATTAATGTGAGATTATAGCGTTGCTACTTCTGATATTTTTTTTTTTACTGAGAGAAGTTAATTCTTGTATATCATGAAAGAAAAGGGGGAAAAGACATTAATTTGGTATTTAGTTGCTTGTTTACAATGTGACCACAAGTTCTTGTAAAGTCACATCATGTTTAAAAGCCAATACTCTTACACAAATAGAAGTTGCAAGTTGCAAGTTGCAACGGGAAAAATTCTCTTACAATTTTTACTTGCAATATGTAATTTATACTTATTTACATTATAATAATGTTTTTCAGTATTATATATCTCTATTTTTCAGAAATAAGCTGCCCACCACCGATATAAACCCATATCTAAACTTGGATCCACCTGTCAGTCATCATATTCATTGAACCGGTCATCTGATTACCACACATACACATATTTCACATTAGTGAGATATTATTCGTTTTGGAACCAAGCCTTCACAATTTTGCTTTTGGACATCACCCAAAAGGCCTCTTCAACTGTGTGTATATAAACCTATATACATCCTCTTGTTTAAACGATGTGGAACTTTGCTTGCATCCTAACATATATATATATATATGAAATGTA